CGTCCTTGAAAAATCTATTTTCAATTATTTTCAAATAAATCAAAATACTTTGCATATATGCTGTTAGAAAATCTTACAAACTATTTTTATGTAACATCTTTTTTCAATTTTAACCCGAAAAAGGGTTATTTTGCAATTTTTTAAGAATTTTTTGATTTTTTCAATTTTTTATTATTATTTTTTATTATTTATTGTTGTTTTTTCAATTTTTAGTTCGTTACCTATAATATTGTGTCTAATTTTAAGTGTCATTAAAATCAAATGTTTTTAACTTAATAATTTTAACATTTCTTAATTTAAAACGAAACATCTTCTATTATATTAAGTTAACAAATTTCGAAAAACGACACCGAACCCGTGACCTCGACACCGTCCTTGAAAAATCTATTTTCAATTATTTTCAAATAAATCAAAATACTTTGCATATATGCTGTTAGAAAATCTTACAAACTATTTTTATGTAACATCTTTTTTCAATTTTAACCCGAAAAAGGGTTATTTTGCAATTTTTTAAAAATTTTTTGATTTTTTCAATTTTTTATTATTATTTTTTATTATTTATTGTTGTTTTTTCAATTTTTAGTTAGTAACCTATAATATTGTGTCTAATTTTAAGTGTCATTAAAATCAAATGTTTTTAACTTAATAATTTTAACATTTCTTAATTTAAAACGAAACATCTTCTATTATATTAAGTTAACAAATTTCGAAAAACGACACCGACCCTGTGACCTCGACACCGTCCTTGAAAAATCTATTTTCAATTATTTTCAAATAAATCAAAATACTTTGCATATATGCTGTTAGAAAATCTTACAAACTATTTTTATGTAACATCTTTTTTCAATTTTAACCCGAAAAAGGGTTATTTTGCAATTTTTTAAGAATTTTTTGATTTTTTCAATTTTTTATTATTATTTTTTATTATTTATTGTTGTTTTTTCAATTTTTAGTTCGTTACCTATAATATTGTGTCTAATTTTAAGTGTCATTAAAATCAAATGTTTTTAACTTAATAATTTTAACATTTCTTAATTTCTTTATTATATTAAGTTAACAAATTTCGAAAAACGACACCGACCCCGTGACCTCGACACCGTCCTTGAAAAATCTATTTTCAATTATTTTCAAATAAATCAAAATACTTTGCATATATGCTGTTAGAAAATCTTACAAACTATTTTTATGTAACATCTTTTTTCAATTTTAACCCGAAAAAGGGTTATTTTGCAATTTTTTAAAAAATTTTTGATTTTTTCAATTTTTTATTATTATTTTTTATTATTTATTGTTGTTTTTTCAATTTTTAGTTCGTTACCTATAATATTGTGTCTAATTTTAAGTGTCATTAAAATCAAATGTTTTTAACTTAATAATTTTAACATTTCTTAATTTAAAACGAAACATCTTCTATTATATTAAGTTAACAAATTTCGAAAAACGACACCGACCCTGTGACCTCGACACCGTCCTTGAAAAATCTATTTTCAATTATTTTCAAATAAATCAAAATACTTTGCATATATGCTGTTAGAAAATCTTACAAACTATTTTTATGTAACATCTTTTTTCAATTTTAACCCGAAAAAGGGTTATTTTGCAATTTTTTAAGAATTTTTTGATTTTTTCAATTTTTTATTATTATTTTTTATTATTTATTGTTGTTTTTTCAATTTTTAGTTCGTTACCTATAATATTGTGTCTAATTTTAAGTGTCATTAAAATCAAATGTTTTTAACTTAATAATTTTAACATTTCTTAATTTAAAACGAAACATCTTCTATTATATTAAGTTAACAAATTTCGAAAAACGACACCGACCCCGTGACCTCGACACCGTCCTTGAAAAATCTATTTTCAATTATTTTCAAATAAATCAAAATACTTTGCATATATGCTGTTAGAAAATCTTACAAACTATTTTTATGTAACATCTTTTTTCAATTTTAACCCGAAAAAGGGTTATTTTGCAATTTTTTAAGAATTTTTTGATTTTTTCAATTTTTTATTATTATTTTTTATTATTTATTGTTGTTTTTTCAATTTTTAGTTAGTAACCTATAATATTGTGTCTAATTTTAAGTGTCATTAAAATCAAATGTTTTTAACTTAATAATTTTAACATTTCTTAATTTAAAACGAAACATCTTCTATTATATTAAGTTAACAAATTTCGAAAAACGACACCGACCCCGTGACCTCGACACCGTCCTTGAAAAATCTATTTTCAATTATTTTCAAATAAATCAAAATACTTTGCATATATGCTGTTAGAAAATCTTACAAACTATTTTTATGTAACATCTTTTTTCAATTTTAACCCGAAAAAGGGTTATTTTGCAATTTTTTAAAAAATTTTTGATTTTTTCAATTTTTTATTATTATTTTTTATTATTTATTGTTGTTTTTTCAATTTTTAGTTCGTTACCTATAATATTGTGTCTAATTTTAAGTGTCATTAAAATCAAATGTTTTTAACTTAATAATTTTAACATTTCTTAATTTAAAACGAAACATCTTCTATTATATTAAGTTAACAAATTTCGAAAAACGACACCGACCCTGTGACCTCGACACCGTCCTTGAAAAATCTATTTTCAATTATTTTCAAATAAGTCAAAAGACTTTGCATATATGCTGTTAGAAAATCTTACAAACTATTTTTTTTTATAAGTCCAAAAAAATTAGGGACTTAGAAAAATATTGATTTTTTTTATTTTTAATACTTAATTTTCATTTACAATAATGTAAAGTTATAATATGTTTTAACTTATTCATCGCATCCATTCTGCAATTTTCGTAAGTTGTTTTATTTCTTATGATTTTTTAAATTAATTTTTTATAATTCAGTTTCATATGAGTGATGTTATTAATAAATTATTATAATTTATTATATTATTTTCGTTATGTTACGCAGCCGTTACTACTCAGCGCAGCCAGTTTACAGTTTTTGTTATTACTTGTTTATATTTTATATATTTTTGTTAATGAGGGAGCATATTTTATATATTTTTTTCTTTTAAATGGTTTTTTAATCCTTTCTATGCGATATGATCAGTATAATAATAATTATAATATTTTTTTATGGCGCTGCCGTTCCAGTTCAGCGCAGCCATTTCCAATTCAATGAATTAATTTATTTATAAAGTAGAGTTAGTAGATTTCTTCGTAGTCGAATTTTTTTAAAACATGTGTTAAATATTATTGTAATATTTCTTGGTAAACAATGTTTCTTACATAAATTTCTTTTTCATTGCCTATCTTTTTTTTATTCCTTTTTCGCTATGTGTAATACTTGAATTTTTATATAATAATACTTTAAGATTATATTTTGAAGTTACTCTTGATAATGCAACATATAATTGTCACGGACTAAAAACATGTGAAGGAAGGTATATGCCTACTTTTTGGAAAGATTGGCCTTGAGATTTGTTGATTGTTAAAACAAATCCAAGCCTTATTGGAAATTGCTTTCTTGACATTTGAAATGGTATTTCTTCGTTAGACGGTGACAATGTAATTCGTGGCAAAATTACAATCTCATTTTTATAATTTCCCGTTATTACTTGTGCATGAATAGAAAAACTACCCATTTTAATAACTTTTTGTCTTGTTCCATTACAAAGACCTCTTTCTAAATTAATATTCCTTAAAAGTATCACAATTGCACCAATCTTTAATATTAATTTGTGAGGAGGAAGTCCATTTGGAGTTAAACTATTTAATACTTCAATTGGTATTAAGTTAGTTATTGTGTCACACTTTTCATCTTCTTCAGATGAATCCATACTTAAATATTCTCTAGGTTCACCTGTCATTCGTTTAACAACATCATTATTTAATTCAAATACATCATTATTCCGGAGAACTAGTAATATATGTAAAATCAAAGAAGAATCTCTTTATAACGGTTTACTATAGATAATAAAAATAAAAACCGATATTTTAAAAAGTATTTCGATTTATTACGAATATATTTCTCAAAAATTTGCAAAATCTACATGTGTTTGTGGGACAATTTACATCAATATAATATAATATAATTTAAGATAAAAAAAATATATTATAATATAATATAATTAATATTGTTGTCATAATTATAATCAAAAAAATCTAATATTTAACAATTGTCATTTCATCCTTCAATGAAACTGATCAAAATTAAGATAAATTTTATACAATATTAATAAGATATTAATTTAAAACATAAATTATATATATAATATACATAAACTACAATAAGTAAACAACAATAAGTACAATTTTAACCGAGCGTGCGTTAGCGAGCGAGGAATACATCGCTAGTTTTATATAAATAAAATAAAATGCAATTTGTTTTTCGAGAAAGTTGTTTAATTTGAAAAATTATTAACTAATTTTTTTCTCATTCGTTATTCATTCCTTTATTCATATGCTTAATATTGTCAGAAAATAAATTGGCTTTAAACAATATAAATTCTTCCCGCAAATAACGAATAACTATTAATATTAATTATACATTAAATGCATGAGTTTATTTAAAGGATATCCTAGAGATATCCTTTTGTTATAAGGGTACTTTTTTTTTCGTTTCTCGGCACGAAATATAATTACTTTTTATTTTTGTTTCTTTCTTCGGCACGAAATATAATTACCTCTTATTTTTGTTCCGTTCCTCGACACGAAATATAATTACCTCTTATTTTGTATCGTGTCGGGACACAAAAACAATTCCTTAAGTAATTTAGTTTCATGCCTCTGGCACGGAACGGAACAAAATTATAATTCATTTTAGTTCCGTTTCCGGACACATCGATTCTCCCACATCCCTGCTTAACCTTTTCTAATTAATAACTAATTTAACTAATAAGTGAATAATAATGACAATATTATTATACTAAAATATAACGTATTAATATAATATAGTACAAATATACATATGTATATGTAATATATTACATATTCGCTATAGCATAATAATATAAAATTAAACATATTAAACACACACACAATAGAAATGGGCCGTGTGGCGAGAGTGGAGAGAGAGAATAGGAAAAGAGTGGAAAGCGTGGAGTGAAAAAAGGGCGCGGTGAAATTTTTGGAAAAACGTAGGAAACACGTTAACGACTAGGCTAAGAACACGAATTCATGATTTGGTAAGTTTATGTTATTCTTCATAAATTCTCGTCACCCCCATCAGTGACATCAGTTATAAATAATATATTTAGGAGAGCGTGGGGTGAAGCGGCGCAGTCTACACTTCTCAAAAACAATAACATTTAATTGTTTATGACGTATGTCAATAGTTACACCACATAAACCTTTATTTTTGGTGGCATGACATTTAGGATTTTATTATTATTCATAGACACTTCAGGATAAATAACTTGTTTTCGACCTCTGGAAATTCAGTTTTTTGGTTCCATAAAATGAGAATTTTTTCTATAAATTTTTTGCATACTTATCTTAAACATAAGTATTTTTTAAAGTTAATATCCTTTACTTTTGTAAACAAAAAACAATTGTGAGATTTTCTGTTTTGGAATTAAGTTATAATATTTTAAATAAGAAAATTTACTAATTTTTTTCAAGTTCAAAAGAAATTCATGGTATATTTTTAATATTTAACTTAATTATAATACTTTACTTAATTTTTTATTTAATTTAATATTTGAAATAAAAAAATATCTTACGTTTATTTACTTTTATTTAATATAACTAACTTATAATATAAAAAAGCAAGTGCGCTACTTGGCCCCCAGTACGGCGCCGCTTCGCCCCACTATCTCTGCTTCACCTCAACATTTTTGTGTTCAAAAAATGGTTAATAACTTTTTATGATTTAATTTTATAGCAACAGCATACATTAATAAAAGTTTTAATATGTTTTGACCTAGCGTATTATGTTTAGCTTAACTGAAAATTCGATTCGGGTCAAGAAATATTATCGAATAAAAAATGCGCAAACTTATGATTCTCTCCTGCATTGCGGTTAAAGGATTGAGGGCGTGGTTTGACCCGTTTAAAGTATTCTTCAGCAGATAAAAAACACGTATCTCATATTTTTCGAGGCTCTGCAACATATATGAGTTTCATCCAAACAGGAGGTGGACACTTACCAAAAGTTCTTTGTTAGTATTTTTAATTAAAGATAAATTTTCTATAAAGTTTTAGTGATTACTTAACACAGTTGTAGTAATTATAAGTATACGTAAAATTAATATAATATTGAATGTTTATCGCAATGAAATACCTATATTTATAAATTAAATATTAAAAATTAAAATGATTCAATGACTTACAAGACAATGAAAAAATTTAGTTTATTTCGTAGTAATATAATGGTAGTTAATAGGCCGACGATCACATACAAAAAAATAATGAATTACTACAAAATTTTTTATAAAATTACAATTTGAATGCATAATTATAAGGCAATAATGATCCAGCTAGCGCCCACTTACGCACTGTGAAATACTTGAAACTTTTCCACACGGGTCAAATAGTAACAAAGATTAAGATATCCCTCACTCAGTTAAGATATACTGACTCCGGTTATCCGAGCTAATGTGGACCGGACTTACCTCGGTTAAGGCGTAAACTAGGATAATCCGAATTGTTATTACAATTTAACATTATTATTGTTTAAACAATTATTATTTTTTACAAACGGGAAAATAATATTGTATATATTTCATAATAATTTAAACAATTTGAATTTATTAAAAATAAACTCATATTTATAAAAAATTAAAATCAAAAATTACTCGGATGAAGTAGACTAGACTCAGATAATACAGAATTTCCTACTAGGACACCAGCTCGGATAATCGAGACCTCGGATAAAGCGAGCTCTGATGAACGGGGTTTTACTGTATAGTAATATACAAATTCAAAGAAGTGTAAAATAATCAATATAAATACGACGATGTAAAATCTGTCAAATTACTGATAACGCCATGTAAAAGATCCAAGACCCAGGCAAAAGCGCGAATGGTATATAATAGAAAGGTCTCAATGTTCGCTCTTTGTTTTCAAGCAAAGTTGCGCGTTACGGTACGAAAATGAGAGTAGCGCCTCGCAGCTAAGACTTTTCGCCCACTTCCGCGACAAAGTACTGTAGAAGGAGAAACTCGTGCAGGATCTGGTATAAATATAGGCCCAGAAACCGAACTGGGTCAAAACCGACCCAGCTGTCGTCGAGAAAAAAAAATATATTGTTTTACTTTTTCAGTTGTCACGTCACTTTGAGAGCGTTAGTCTCCGTCCACGTTCTGATGTACCGTGCTTCGGATGCCAAAAGGTATTTGTTCTCTCGACGTTTGACTGTACAACGAGCCGACTATGACGACTCCTATTTCATGAAGGATTTTACAACAAGGAATGACTTTCATTCTTTAAACATTAACTATAATAATTAGGTTTGACCTAAAATTTAAAAGGGTTTGACCTCACCCTTTACAATTAATTTTTGATCGTAACAAATTAAGTATTAAATTCCATAAATTGTTTTGTTTTCTTTCTCTATTGAAAAAATACAGATGTAATTACATACGTAAATACTTCGAATTTAACAATAATTTTTTCTATGAACTCCACGTGTAATTACTAGTAAATTTTAGACTTTAAATTTAAAAATCATTTTTCTCACCCATGTAAGTGAGTGCAGTGTTACCGTATTAAAATATGCGCAACAAATTTCAAATTGTATATGCTTTTTGTAGGTTAGATTTTTACCGATATGGTTTCAGATATCAATGACAATCACATTTATGTAAAAATTTATCAGTAACAAAAATAGACCATATTATTATCTTCCATTTAGGGTTTACATCGGTGATTGAAATCCTTTTGATGCTGAGGGTAGTACATCTTTAAAGTAATGGCCATAAATATTAGTAGAGTTGTTCTGGAGAATCGCATTTTCAATAACCTATAAAACCGTTTGCTAAATATACATTCTTCTTAATTTTAAAAGAATCTCAGTAAAAAGAGATAAATTTAATTAAATACAACACTTCTGTTCAAAATAATTTATTATTTCTAAAAGTTACCATTCGAATTCTAAACAACGTTATAAAGAGAATAAAATTATTGAAGTGAATTCTATAAGTCAAACAGAATTAAATTAGAAACAAAAATCTTTAACGACAGAGCCCCGGCCAGAGTGCGTGTGACTCTGAACGGGGAGCACGGATCTAGCGCTAAACTGGTGAGCGCCTTCACAAAAAATGCAACTAACTGGTATGTTAGGCACTTCATACTAATATCGTTAAAGGTGAATTAAAGTACATAAAATTTTATGTAAAATTGTAAAATTGTAGAATACGAATTTAGGAGACCAGTTTTTATCAGTTTTTTCTTAAATGCGCTAAATATAAATAATATAATATGTTTAAGGGGACTTATTTTCGAACAATTTCATATAGATTAAATTAATTCAACTCTGGTGGCATAAAAGTTACTAAGCTTTCAAAAACAAAATCCCAATAATTGGAAGTTTAACATTTATACCAAATAAAATTAAAGGTTCACTTATTGAGAAATTTGATTTTCATATTATAAACACAAAAGCTTCCAAAAACACGGAATTGTATCTTCCAGCTACACAAACATTAAACAAAATTATAATAATTAATGTCAGCTACGCATTACCATTCGATAAAAGTATAATAGAAAATCTCAGAGATAAATAAATTTTTATGTTGTATAGATGTGGATTCTTCAAAGTACTACTAAAATGCATACCTAAAAATGTATGTCTGTTTTGTATTAAAAAAAAATCACTAATGAACCTGTCGTAGTAACCAAAAGACAACCAAATAGACAGCCAGAAATAAGTATAAAATCTTTTTTTTTTAAATAAAAACGTAAAACTTAGGCTTAGGGACTAAACCTAATCTAGTGAGAAAGATGTTATAGTCAGCAATATGTATATCTTCAGCTGTCTTACTCTTTACTCCATATGAGTAGAGAAACGCATTAACAAGTTAGTCTAAATCCTTCCTCCAACTGTATTGTATACTTTTTTTTTAATAAATTGTTAATCATAAAAGAGATATAATTTTTTGGAGAGTGTTTTATTAAATCTGACCGTAGCAAGGTGAAAATTTTGAAATTTTTTTGGGGGGTTTAAATTAAGAAGTTTAAACTTCACCTAAGACTATTACTTCCCCCAGTTTCAGAGAAATCGAGAAACTTCTTGCAAATCGTAATATTTCTAACAGAGTTTTACCCATAATTTTATTACTTCTCCCTTTTGAATTATTTACCTTGTTTTTAGCATTTAATTCGTAAAAGTATTTTGAAATTTTTTGACATTTAACATCTCTATTGGCATCAAAAATAAAAATATTTGAAAAACGCCCATCGGTATCATGCAGTACACGAATATAGAAATCTTTTAAGCGCTAAAACGTTTAAAACCATCAAAGCAATTTTTGTTTAGGGCTCTGTCCATGTTGACGTGAAATCTCCAATATATTATTTTAGAAGATATAGGCAAACTTTTTGCAAAAAAATTACAGATAGTTCTCGAAATCTTCATGAACCTGCATTTAAGTTTAGTGAACTATCTATAATTTTTTTCAATAAGTTTAATATTAACCTATTAACGACCAAACGTCCAAATTTTTACCTTAACTTCAATGTAAAAATTTAAACATTAAAAGACCAGATATTTTAACGTCAATGAGTTCTAGGGGATATTGGAGATCGCTCTTTTAGATTTTGAGGTCAAAATAGAGATTGGTCCATCAGGAAATCCAATATGGCGGATAAAATAAAAAAAACCTAAAAAAAATCGCTGTTCGATTTTCGAGGGCAAGATGAACTAGAGAGTCTACACACATACAAATCGTCTCATGGAGAAAAGATATTCTCTGGTGATGTAGAATCAGCGACCCCGAATAGTGAGTTTCAAACGAATCCAAACGAGTTTTTAAAAAAAGTCCGCCATTTTGAATTTTGAAAAACTGACTTCAGATTCATAATCAGCGACCTTGAAAACAGCCAAGTAATATGTAGGTTTCAAGCGAATTCAATGAATTTTCAAAAAATCTTCTCGAAAAATGTGTGCTATCCAAAAATGAATAACTAATTAACAAAAAATTCAACAAATTTTTTTCCGTGTATGCCTAAAAAGCGAATTGAAATTTAAAATTTCAAAAATAATATTAATTTAATGTTTGAAATGTTCCATATTATATCACATTGGATATTACGATAATTAAACTAAATCAATCTCTTCTTACCGGGATATTATTAATGTATTACTTTACGATTTTAAGATAATGATTTTAAAAGCTCACCTTAAACAAATTACTTAATTTAGAATACCAATTTTCTTCTTTCTCAACTCGTCTTCGATATCTTGCCTTTGCTTCTTCATCCATAGGATCAATTTCTTTCGGCCATCCGCCCTCAAAATGATGTATTCCTATACTTCTAAATGACTTTCCTATTGTCTGAATCTGTGAATAAATTTTATTTACATATTTTAATTTTTAATGGAACCTAAGCTAAACGACTTAGAACGAGGAATTTTATAATAAACTAGCTGTCGACCCCGCCTTCGGTGGGTCTCGATATTTAGTGGTGCGTAACCGATAGTATTTTCTTACAAAAAGTATTAGTATAGTAAAAAGTATTAGTATAGTAAAAGTATTAGTATTAGTATTATACTTAGTATTTTCATCAGGATCGTCTGTAAATTGCTCAGAATTCATTCTCATTGCTTAAAAATTATATAAATATTTGATTATTATTTAACCTATGTCAATTTAAACTTACATCTTCCTTAAACTTAAATTATGATTTAAACTTAAGGGGTTACACCGCTTTGACCCGACTAAAAGATACGCTTTATCAACAATTTTTATTAAAGAATAGAATTTTTTTTAAAAAAATTAAAATACAGTAGGGTATTATACTAATCTTGAACTGCAAAAAAATTTTTTTTTAAATGTCAGTCTGACAGATGATATGGCGGAGTGCTTCAAAAATGTATCGCCGTGTGGTGGGCACTATAACTGGGTCCAAATTTGAGATAGATCAAAATAAAAAAAGCATTAGTTTCTGCAGCTCAAAATGTAGAGAAATACTTATCCGTTTTTAAAAGAATGCATTTTTCGCAAAATGTTATCGATTTGAAGGAAAAAGTACCTATTTTTGCCAAAATTCCGTTATTTACAGTTGTCTAGAAAATTTAAATATGAATATTTCAAAAAATCCCTACGTATTTCTCTAGATAATTATATCACAAACAAAATAAAAAAAACTAAGAGGATCGATTAAAAATTTGTGTCAGCTAGAGTGCCCACCGATTTTTCAAATGTAGTTTTGAGAAAAACTGGTTTAAAGTTTTCTTAACAGTTTGGTTCTGATTAACAATGATTAAATTAAAAATTACTTGTAATCAGCTACGCCGGGTCCATATAGCATATCATTTCTATGCCTATAAGGTGTACTTAAAGCAAAAAAAAAATTTGTTTTTTTTAAATTTCAAAGTAGTGTAACCCCTTAACACTGTCCGATAGCCCAAAAATACTTTTTATTTAGAGGTTAACAAAAAACTAAGAGGAATCGTATTTTAAAAATTTTCCTAACACCCCCAAATTTTGATTTTAAATCCAAAAAACCGTTTCCACGTATATTTATGACTAAAACCCTTGTAACTTTTTTATTTTTACACCGATTTATAAGTTTTTTTCACTTTAAAGCTGAAAAGCAGGGCTTTTCAACCCACATAGAGTATTTTTGTTAAAAGTAATATTTACAAGAGAAAAGTTCCAAGAAAGTGTGGAAATTGTCAGTTTTTCCTCAATTTTACAACTTTAACTGATGTTTACCGCATTAATTATATTTTAAACATTTTTTTTCTTTATGTAATATTCAAGCGTACTAAATTGTACGTCGAACCTGCCCTATTTGAATAGTTTTCTTTAAAAATCGACTGATTTATTGCAGTTTTTCTATTTGCAAGATCAGTAGCAAATTTAAGTATTTTTCAGTTTTCCTTAATTTTTGATTCTTAATTGTTTTATGTAAAGTGCTTCTGAAGTTTTGACCATTTTTTTGTATCTTGATCTTTTTAAGAATAAGTTTTTCTGTAAATATTAATTTTATTTTCTATATAAGAAAACCTAGCCTCAAAAATGAAATTTTAAAATATACTTTTTGTCAAGAATGTTTTTATTGCTAAATAAAATTCAACTTAAATTTTTAACATTAATTACTAAATTAAAAAAATATCTGAAAATTCAAATTATTTTGAAATTAGAAGTGTTTATTTAGCCTTTTTATTTTCATCTTCGAATCGTCCTCGTGACATTTGTTTGTTTATATATTTCATGATGAAATCTTTCATCTTGTCCAAGGTTTACGGAAAATAAATCCAAATGGAAGTGCAAAAACTGAATTTTTATAGATGTTGCAATTTCATTTTCAAGGCTAGCTACGTTTTTCTTATATGGAAAATAAAATTAATATTTACAGAAAAACTTATTCTTAGAGAGATCAAGATACAAAAAAATGGTCAAAACTTCAAAAGCACTTTACATAAAACAATTAAGAATCAAAAATTAAGGAAAACTGACAAATACTTAAATTTGCTACTGATCTTGCAAATAGAAAAACTGCAATAAATCAGTCAATTTTTAAAGAAAACTATTCAAATAGGGCAGGTTCGACGCACAATTTAGTATTGTTGAATATTACATAAAGAAAAAAAATGTTTAAAATATAATTAATGGGGTAAACATCAGTTAAAGTTGTAAAATTGAGGAAAAACTGACAATTTCCACACTTTCTTGGAACATTTCTCTTGTAAATATTACTTTTAACAAAAATACTCTATGTGGGTTGAAAAGCCCTGCTTTTTAACTTTAAAATGAAAAAAAACTTTTAAATCGGTGCGAAAAGAAAAAATTTACAAGGGTTTTAGTCATATAAATATACGTGAAAACGGTTTTTTGGCTCTAAAATTAAAATTTGGGGTGTTAGGGAAATTTTTAATATACCATTCTTCTTAGTTTTTTGTTACCTACAACCTCTAGTAGGTCCGATAAAAAGTGTTTTTTAATTATTTTTTTTGTAACACAGTGTAATTTTACCAATTTAAATTTTTTTATTAACTTTTAACATTTCAATGATATGGTTTCCAAGATGCACCATGTAGAGGTGCATGCATCTTACGCACACAGCACCAAAAACATATCGAATATTCCATCACAGAAAAACATGTACTCAAAGGAATACTATGATTATAAATTTTTGCTACGGTGTGGTTACAAAGTATTGTTAGGTTTTTTCAAAAACTGTCGAAGAGGAAGGGGGTTGAATTTTTTTGAAAAATTTAAACAGTGAATATTTGAAGACTTGTAACTTTTAAACAGAAAGAAGAAGAAAAATTTGTCCTATATGTTTTCGAAAAGTTTTTTCCTGCTCTTTCAAATGGTGCAAAAAAATTTTCAAAAAATTCAAATTTTGATCCTTTTTTTTGAAAATTAAAAATTTTTTCGAATTTTTTCTTAAGTTCGGTCCATTTTATTTCTTTTATTTTTTTTTTTGAAAGCAAAAATTGGTATTTTCACCACAAAAAATATTCAGATGTCTTTTTTTGTTATTTTCGAGATATTAATTAACTAATTAATTAATTAATTACCCGTGTAGAAGAAGCCACGATTTTGACCCCAAGACTTCGGGGCCCCCGGCGGGGGCGCATAAGGGCTGATCCATATGGCGAATCCATGAGGGCCAACGTAGGGGCCCCGCATGGATTACCCACATGATCGTTTAGCAAAATTTTCTAAGTCCAAATGTGAAATATTTTTTCATCACCAAAAAATTAATGTTTACACGAGGGGCTGTTTACTCTCGAATACCCGATTTGTAAGGTAGAGAATATATTAGGTATCTTCCGAATATTCATCAATTAACATAAGAAAATGTAAATTTCTTGATTCTGACTATATTGTATTTTAATTAGAGATTACCGACGATTATTGAAAAGGACGTTCGAATTTGTCGAATACTATGCGAATCCAAACGAATCTCGTCGATTCCAGTAAAATTCTAAATCATGCAGTAAGAATTGTTGCGAGTCACGAATGGTTACGGAGACATACGAGCGAATTCGGCGGCGAATTATACAATTAATCTATTTTTCTTGCAATCTTACTCTTGCAAGTAATTACTTCAAATAAAATGAAAGCACTATTTCCCTTAATTTCAAAATAGGAATTACAAAAATGACTAGCAATCCTTAAAAATATTTAATGAATTCTCAAATATTGTTCAATTGGATTTTCAGTGAACAGCCCCTCGTGTTTACAATGATTCAGAACAACGAGAAATGCGTTTTTAATAAAAATATATTTACACTTTTTTTGAAAATTCACCTGGGATGATTCATGATAATAATCATAAAGCATATAATTAATTATATTTTATAAATTTCATTTGATTGGAAAATATAATTTAATATCTTAACTGTAACTAAATGATGTTAAGGACTTTTCTGAGTTAGGTATTTTGCAAGTTTAAATGCCATTAAGAAGTTAGAATTCGTTTTCACGTAGCGTGCGTAGCGTAGTTGATAAAGCGTTGGGCTCATAGTCCGTAGGTCGTAGATTCGATTCCCCCCATGCGTTAGATTTATTTATTTCTCAGGTTTGCGTTTAATCATTAATTCTATGTATGAATTAGTTGAAAAATGAAAATATCCGGTCATAACATATTTTTTAATTTTTTAATTAATTTATTTAATATTACTTTTAATTATATCTGACAGTTAATTAATTAGAACGTTAATTAATAAATTCAATTTGAGTAAGAATTTAATTTAAAAATGGAAGAATTAGTAAATAAATATGTTATTTATTCAGAATTTAAGCTTATTTATTATTAATTAACTATTATTAATATTGTTGATTAAAAACCATTAAAGCAAAATTAAGGGCAAGATGAGGGCCCATGAGGGCGCGCATAGGGGCGATCTCATGGATCGCCAATGGGGGTAAGTAAACAAAACAAATTTTGACATATATGTTTTCCAAATTTTTTTTTGTGCTCTTGAGATTGGTGAAAAAAAATTCAAAATATTCAAATATTTTTTTTTTAAGTTCGGTCTTTTTTTAAAATTTATTTGGGACGTTCCACGTCAAACGGAACAGAGCTCTAGCCAAAAATTGGCTTGATAAAAAAAATCGTTTAAGGGCTGAAAAAACTTGTACACTCTTGTACTTTCGAAAGCAGATGGGCGATTTCAGAAATTCAATATGGCGGCGCCTGTAGATGTGATATAAGTCATCAATGTCACGATTCGACAAATACAAACATGAATAAAATTTCCAAAATTAATTAAATTGAATCAAAAAATACACTTTTAAGCATTTTTGGGGTCGCTGAACACGAATCTGAAGTTAGATTTTAAAAATTCAAAATGGCGGATCCAAAATGGTGGTCGATTTTT